ATATGGACAAAGGAAATCTCAGCGGAATTCTCCTTATAGACTTCCGGAAAGCGTTCGACCTTATAAACTATGACCTTCTACTACAGAAACTTGCCATTTATGGTCTTAAAGAATCAACACTCCAGTGGTTCAAGTCTTATCTCACGGAACGAAAGCAACTAGTGTCTATCGGACGTGCACCTTCAGATCTCCTACCAGTACATACCGGTGTTCCACAAGGTTCATCACTTGGACCGCTTTTCTTCATTTTATTCATCAACGACATCCCACTTGTTAACAAAGAATGCAATTCCTACATCTATGTAGATGACACCACCTTGGCCAAGTCAGGGACATCCATCAACACCGTTAGATCACATCTACAAACTGGTGCTGACAACCAAAGTAACTGGGCCTCTGAGAATAGAATGGCCATCCATCCCAACAAGACTAAGGTCATGCTTATTGGATCACGACAAAAACTTTCAACCATCAACGAACCGCTCAATGTTTCTATCTGCGGAACCACCATCTCCCAAACAACCTGCGAAAAACTACTTGGTGTGCACATGGATGACTCACTCACATGAGGCAAAGAAAATAACATCGCAGCCGTCATTCAACAAATATTGCAAGAGTTACTTTAGTCAGAAACTCGTGAGTTCAACTAAACTTAACAGCATAAGGCTTTATTAATTAAGACATCTAAAAATATCATTAGTAATTAATTGTTTAATATAAGTGTATAGTCTAATCAGTATCAGTGACAGTGTTTTTCTTTGTTAAGAACATTTAGTGTTCGTTTGTTTGCATGTTTTCTCTTGATAACTTTATTAAGACTATAAGTTGGTTGCTTTCTTGATGTACGAACTGCCGAAGTTCATGCTGCAGTTTTAGCTGAACATGATCCAACTTTCGGTTGTTCGTACATGGAGAAAGTGCCAAATATTGTCATGTTTATAATGTCACTTTAGACACTTGTGAGTTGTGTGTCAACGTATTTCGACATATTATTCTGTAAATATAATTTAAACATAGTTAGAAAATTGCCTAATTAGAAAATTGGGGCTTTCTCGAGGTATGAACAACTGATTGTAGTATGGTTAATACTTTACATTATACCCATGATTTCATTTGTTCATACTCCTAGGAAGTACTGAATATAGTCATGTTTAATGTTATTGTTGTGTCTATAGAGTTTAGGAGGACCAGATTGGAAAAAAGTTGTAACTTTATCTGTTTATATCCTCAATAAATAAAGTGTTATTATTATTATTATTATTATTATAATCACCTCGCCTTCGGTGAATAATTGTTAAATATAGGGACAGCCAGTGAGGTTTAAAATGAAATGACTTGCAATTTTGAACATGTGCACAAATGTACAACAATTTAAAATCATCATGATCAATGCAATTATTGGCTAAATTAAATTAATCATTGATTAATCATCAATTGAATTATTTGGCCTAAAAATAGTATTGGCAAAATTAATTTATGAAAATTTCAACATAAATTATGCTAATTACCTTACCAGTTCTACCAACATGGCTGCTTTCCGCGTTGGAAGAGGAGCGCTAAATGTGCTGAATTCTCGTCTCATTTCTCCAGTTTTAGCTAATAAATCTTCTCCTTGTAGGAAAATACATACCGCATGGCTACTCAATGCAGGTAATACACAAAAATATCACTAATCGAAGCTGTTTAAACTCAACCTTGTTGCTTTAATTTATAATATAAATCACGTCAAATGCGTGGGTTTTAACTTTGATTATTTTGTAGGTATCTTTAGTAAAATACTTTTTAGGAACGAAGGAAATTAAGATTCGTTATAAGAATATTCAAATTTCTTTAACACACACAGTCGGCCAGCCCGCCAATCTTCCACCTCCTAATTTTTTTATGCCAAAAGCTCCTTTGTGCTACGCCAAGTGGCTATGCTTTCCGCCAAATATCTTGAGCTGATGGGTATCGGAATCCAATCAGGATTGGGTGAATTTATAAGGAAAATCCTTTGTCAAATTGGTCCAACATGGCAGTGATGAAGTATTGTGAAAACCTTTTGTTTTTAAAATATAGAAAGACAATTCACAAAAGATCATGAATGGATTGTGATGTCAGACAATGTCGGGACTATAGGGATCTCAGATTATGCACAAGTAAAGAATCCTTTATTTTATCCTTTAAGGGAGAGCACATTTATAGGGACATATGATCAGTTGCAGAGTTGCTGGAAATACCATTTCAGAGGGTCTAAAATTTCAAAGTCAACCCCCTCCCCTCTTAGGTGAGTGGTACCCTCTGGACCACATAGCTGCATACTTCTTTCAAACAGTCTCCTGCTCAAAATTTTATTGGGAACCCTGCCTTCTCTAGTAATACTGGACCTATAAGGGATGAGCCTTACTGACCTCTAGGAAGAACAGTTTCCAACTGAGATCTATCTAGTACAAACAATAGCTAGTTTAGTTCGTTAGTTTACTAGTATAGTTTACTAGAATTGTGCTAGGGTGCACCTCTATTTAATGGGTTAAATAGCAAGTTTGTATAATTATAGGCTCATCTTATGCATTGATAATAATTGTAATTATAAATAATATTTATTATTTCAGAATAGCTTGGGTGATATTGTATATGTTGAATTACCAGATGTTGGGAGTACAATTGAACAAAATGGTAAATATAATTTAATATGTGATTATGAAAATTCAGAGGTTTCAGTACAGTAGCTATGAATTGTAATTGTTACAAACAATGAGGTTGTCTCTATTTCTAGATACGTTTGGTGTTGTTGAAAGTGTCAAGGCAGCGAGTGACCTATATTCACCTGTTACAGGTGAAATAGTTGAGGTTAATGAAGCATTAACAGAAAGTCCTGATTTGATCAATAAGGAACCATACGATGGTGGTATGTCTTCATGAAACTTAAATGCTAACCTTATTCTTGCAATAAAACAATTTCCAGGTGAAGATAGATTAACATAATACATTAACAGATGTGCAGTGTTTAGTGACTAATATTTACTCAAAAAATTTATCCAAAGGTTGGATAGCAAAGATGAAGCTATCAGACTTATCCCAACTTGATGAACTTATGGATGAAGCAGAATATAATGATTTTCTCAAGGAAACTGAAGATGAATGATTTTATGTGTTTGGACATGGAATTCCTAGAACACGACATGAAATTATAAAATATACATTATATTACATGGCACATAGCCTAGACCACCGTAACCTGTTGTTTTATTTAATTAACCACCAATTTTGAATTTTGTAACCTCCTAAATATATTGTTAAAACTAAATTAACTCCAGTCTAATTGCTTTATTTGTAGGATCAAATATGGTTTGATTTAATTTGAATATTTGATATCATACTCCCAATTGCTGCAGCAGTTAGAGTAGGGAGCCATTGAACACTCCTCCATAGACAATGAGTATAAGGGGCTACAGTAGTAATTCAAAACTACAACTGCAAAAATCATATGAATGCAGTGGACGTACCTTTCTAAACCTAGAGTTACTGGCTATCAAATCCAAATATTATGTGGAGCTAGATATCCAAGCCTGAAATTAATTGCTGTGCCAACATAGACTCAATCTCATACTCAGAGCCATTGTTGACTCTGGGTACGACATCGACATAGACTAAGCTCCATTCTAAGATTCCCCTGATTATGGCTTTCAATTAAATGGAGTTGAAACATTGTTCTATCGTCAATATGTCATGGGAATATCTTGTGCACAATATAAAATTGAATTTGTGTTCTCCCCATATAATTAATCAAGAGGTCAATTGGTCTTTAGCCTGCTTGGCTATTTATGGAGGTTCAATTCCTGTTGCCAATACCATGGTGATTTGAGCAGTGAGCAGTGACATCACACTTAGTCTTAGGTTCCACATGTTCACATGCTCTAGCTTTAAAACAACAGGGATAAGGCTGAGTGATGACATGATACAGACAATGCATTTGAATAAGTTTACTTTATTTTTACTTTACTATTATATTTACACTAAAATGTTCAGTGTTAGCCTGTACATTCTCTCATCACAACTGATACTACATTCATCATACAAAATTGTAGGACTGTATTTTACAGATTTCATCCACTCCAAAACTTCAAGATGCCTTGACTTAGTTTTAGAGCTTCATAAACTATTTCTGTATAATAACATGTAATAACATCTAGTAATGTTATGAACAACAAGTTTACAATGACATTCCTCTATTTTAATTAAATTATCGATACTCTATATCTTTATAGACCTTTTACTATTGAATAAACCTTTTCAAAAATAATGATGTCATCTGGAAATCATATGCTTTCTCTAGAGCCCATCAAACTAATTAATACTCACTGTTAAAAATTATTAAATAGTTGATAAACATTTACATGGAATGAAGCTATGTACTACACAGAAACAAGTAAAACTGTCTGCCATCAGACAGAATATAAATGTAATCCAGCATTAGGCAAAAAAATATTGAACTGGGTTTCAATTGTGCATTTCCATTTCCATCAATGACATCACTATTGGGGAAAAGGTCGATTGCAATGTCCAACTAATGGTTGACTAAAACAGCACCTTTCGTACAGCATTAGCTACATCTGGGGTTAGATTTAGTGTCTTAACCTCTGCATCAAACTGTTTCTTCGATCCGTTTTGTCCCAGGTACCCATTCAGACGAGCAGCGATTGTGGAGTCCTTTAATTCTTCGTTATTCAGCTGTAGCAGGCCTACGATATCACCATGACCACGTAATCTGTATTTTTGGTGGTAGCTAAATAAATGGTAGATAAGACAATCAGCACCATGTACAGTATGTATGTGTTTTCTGACAAGTTCAGATGTAGCAATTGACACACCAGGCAGAAAAGCACAGTTAAAGATAAATGGTGTTGAGATAAATGGTGGTGTGATAAATGATGTTGTGGTGTATACAACAAAAGTCAGCAAATAAATTGTATATATTTATTATATAGTAGAGAGTGAGATACTGAAAAATACACAGCGAGATATTTTCCATATCTTTTATAGTGAAGATATCGATCACATGACTTTTAGTATTTATACATTTTTTTGCTTGGGACTATATAATAAACAGAACATTACACAGTGGCTTGAAGATATGACTTTTATCATTTCACCACTCGAAGATAAAAGTCATATCTTCACGCCACTGTGTAATATCCTCTATTTCTTTATTGTTATGCCTTGTTTGAAAGTCATATGCTGGGCTTTAATATTTATATTTAAAGTACAAATGTATTCAATGGATTGCCAATTTATACCAGAGATATTTGATTTTATTTTGACTAAATCCATCTGATTGGTTTTATTTTATCATGTGATCACTTACTCTTCAGCATCATAAAATGAATCAGCAGGCAGGATATCTGTTGCGATTGTTTGTTTCAACCTGTTCTGTTCAACCTTGGCACTTTCTTCAGCTAATCTTTTTTGTTCTTCATTATGATAAAATATTGCGGACTTGTATTGTGGAGATCTTTTCTGCACGTAGTTGTGGCCCTCCCAAAATACTTTCAGAAGGTTACTGTAGTTGGTCACTTTTGGGTCATATTCCACCTGAAGCGTCTCAGTGTGGTCACCTCTGGAAAAAAACATGGATTAATGCAAAAGTTAATTACAGAGGCCATGTTAGGGTTTTACGGATTATTCGGGAGTTTTAGAGAATGGATACAGATTGTTTATTTTTGCAGGATTATTGATTATTAAGAATGGATTTTAGGATTATCGATCTATTGTATTTTTAGAGGAAAAAACAAAAATATTTTAACATGTATACTGGGGGAAATTTGGGCCCGCAGACCCCACTAGTCAGTTGCACAGATTGGGATCTAACCCTGAGTGACCGAACTTTTACTCTGGGACAGGGGCGTAGGAAGCACCTGGAGTTTGGGGGGGCACCGGCTTGTAGGGGCACATTACTATCGGAAAGGGCACCTAAAAAATTTTTCCTACGCCCCTGCTCTGGGAGCCCACACTGGGTCCTTGGCCTTAATCTTGGTTTGGCACATACCCCACTGTAAAACATTTAAAATATGCACTTGGAGGATATGGATTACAGTATTTTCAAAATTTCTTCAGGATTATAGATTATTTGGAACACCCCTAACAGGGCTCATTACTGCAATAGAATTGCTACCTACTGTTGGCCACTTAGGTCCAGCTACATAAATAATATTGGGAGAAATACAACTATCTGAAAAATATAAGCTCTGCTTATAACCTCCACATACTCTCTTAATTCACAGCTGTCTTGTCTTTGTCGCTACCAACACCGACTGTGGAAACTCAATATGCTGGATATACCAGTATTTCAATTTGCATAGAAAAATGAAAACTGTGCAAGTAAGGCCAGGGTCAAACTTTTCATGTGCCGAACCTAATGTCAATGAGCTTAGTTCTTTGTTTCACTTCATTTGCATTACACTGTAGGTTCGGCACATGAAAAGTTCGATGTTTGACCGTGGCTTAACCCTAACTCTTGCCATGTCAACATATGGTAATTGGGTCGTTCCAGAAAAGATCCATACTCCCCCCATGGAGGAAATTTCTGCCGTCCGGAGGGGGAGAAAAAATTGTTTCTGATAATAGTAAATGTATTAGGACATCCGAAGGGGGTAGGGGGGTTAACTTCCTATTTCCTCCGTGGGGGCGGTATGGATGTTTTCTGGAATGACCCATTGTATGTTTTTCGTTGGGAATTCAGTTCCGTTTTACTGACCGTACTTGGTGCCACAAAATCCAAGATTTGAAGGGTTGGGTCAACTTTTGACAGTGGCGGCGCCAGGCTTCCAAATTTTGGGGGGCATTTGAGGGGCAAACTCAAATTTGGGGGGGGGCAAGATAGAATTTTTAAAAAGGTCGCCCCCCCTCAAAACGTGGCGATATTCCTTGGAATATCGCCCCCGGGGGCAAATATCCCAGGAATATCGCCTCCCAGGGGGGTGGGGCGAATACCCTAGGAATATCGCCCCTCTTTAGGACATTCGCCCCCCATATATGCGATGTGGTTTATTCAAATAATTTTGTGATA